CTCATAAGTTGTTACTTAGTCATTCCATGTACCTAAATTCCAATTATATGCTCAAGTATTTTGATATAGTACTCTCAATAAACTACTATATCAAAATTGCAAACAAAAACTTTGGAATCGCTATGACTGAGTTGTGGAGGAAATTTCTCATCATTCTAACTTCACTCGTCAACTTCCAAAAACTTCCATGGGACAGACATATTTCTGGATCTGATTCAATGATATTTTTTCCATTCAACAACGTGGATTTTTGAGTTTCCTGTTTCCTTACAATGTTTTCCTTTATCATACATAAAAGTGTTACCTACCTTTTCCTTTAGTATACCTATAGCCGGCGTTCAAAGTTGCAACGATTACGATTAAATTAAAGACGTGAAACAAAGAAAAACTGCTACATACATTATATCTATATTAAATGACAAATATGTTTTGTCATAATCAGTAATGCAAATAATCTTTTCGGCTCCAAGGGCTGATAAGCATCATGCGTGCCGTTATATAAGTTGTATGTAACGGCCGTTATCCAATCAATCGTAAAACGACGCTATCCGTTAACAACAAAGGATTTAGATAAAGCCCGATCACGATAAACGGTATCGTTTAAGATATAGTCGTAATTTATTACAACCAAAACCCATTTTAAATATTTCTAATCAAATACCTATTATAATTCGTCGTAGAAATATAATTATTTGAATACTTTCCATAAATATACGTGATGTTAGGATCGGGTGTTCCTTTTGTATATATTCGGGTTTCACGTATCGTGGTATAAAATTATATTAACTTTTCGAAAATATAATATTAGGGGGAGGTAGATTTTGTCAGGGATGACTTATAATGATCGAGTTGTGGATGATTTGTAATAGGTAACTTTACGGAAATTGTGTACATTTTAGTTTGCACAATTTCCGTAAAGTAAAAAGAAAATTACTTTCTTTATCATATTTTTGGTGTTTTGACTACCCATTACACACAACATCTATACACTGCCTGCTTTATAAATAGTTTATTGAAGGTGGAATCATCAATTTTAAAATAGGATGTTGTCTCAGTTCTTGGACGATTAATAAAAGTCATAACCAAAGGATGCGCAAAGGTCACAGCGAAGTTGAGTAATCTCACTTTGCTGTATTAATAGGAAAACCCGTAGCTTATCTGGGGATTCACCTAGATAGTTTAGCTCAAACACGTGAGAAATTAATATTAACATCCTGCTAAAATAAGAAAAGTAACTTTCGAATAAAGACAATAAATTGTTACGTTTTTTATATGTAATAGGAGGCAACTGGGCAGAAGGCTCACCTGATGTTAAGTGATATTAATATGTATATACTATTTTATCCATGGACACTCAAATTGCCAGAAGGCTCTCAAGTGCATAGCCGGCCTTTTAAGAATTGGTACGCTTTTTTCTTGATGGACCCTGACCAATTCGTGGTTCGGAAATACTTCAGTGGGCAGCTGGTTCCACATAGTGGTGGTGCGCGGCAAAAAAATGCTTTAAGAAACGCTTAGTTGTGGAACGACTAATATGTAATTGAAGATAATCTAAAGCTTTCGTTGCATCTATATGATTATTACACATAAAATTGGAATGGGTGTGGTGCCCACCTTGTAGAACTTTTCCACTTTTCCCAACGTTCTTAAGTCGTATCATTTCAGAAATACCTGTACCGGCTAATGAAGACATATAATATTTTAATTGTAAATTGATAAAAATAATAAATATATAAAAAATATACGCAGTCAATGATAATTATGATGATAAACTAGTCAAAGTCTTGCTAATTAATTCCTAATTGAGTTAATGACTGAAATTACAAAAAGGATTAATTTACATTAAGAGATAAATAGAAAAAAAAAATAATTACGCGGAATTTATCTTGTAAATTAGTAAATGGTTGTACAACCCCTTGTGGGCCTAAGCTTCCGCAATTATTTTTCGCCATCGCAATCCATCTCGTGCTTCTTGTGTCCTCCGAACACCTGTTGTTTCGAGGTCCTTGACAATTCCATACCACCAACGCAGGCTTGGGCTACCGGGTTTTCTCTTGCCTTGCCTCTTGCTTGGTTTTGTCGTCCGCCATTCGGTGCATATGTCCCAACCACTTCTTGCATTTGATGAATAGGACGATCTTGGCATCGTCAAGGGTCTTTTTCAAAGAATCGAATACGCCAAACACCGTCGTTGCAAAGAGGGAGAATAACATTCTTCGAAAAATTACGCGGAATTACCACAATATTCAATATGTACTTATAATGGGTATTATTCATAACTAATTAGTCTGGCCATAAGTTCTGTTACAAATGAAAATGCATTATTTTAAACTTTTTAATTATTATTATGAATTTGGAACACGTATATTATATTAAAAACTTTTTCGATTTTACGCCATTTCACATATTTTTCCCTGTTAGTTACAAATTACAAGTTCGTATATCGTACCATCAACAGATACAACAACACTTCGTCTGTCGAAGACCAGCAAAGATCGGGGCGGCCAAGTGCTATTGGAACTACAAAGGCTGTTAAAGCCAGAATTCGTCGAATTCTTCCTGATGGGGTAGGAAGCAAAAAATCTTATCGCGAGAAATGAAGCTTTCCGCTAGGACTCTGTCGCGTATTATAAATCAAGACCTGAAGCTTGGTGCTTATCGTCGATATACGAGTACAGGACATGCCCTAAATCAATCTTTACAATTAAAGAGAGCTGGATCGATCAAAACGCCTTCTATCGTGATACGCAGGTGAAAAGCACAAAAATATCCTCTTTACCGATGAAAATTTCACAATTAAAGAACACTACAATAAGCAGAATGATAAAGTGTACGCTCACAGTTCTAAAGAAACTGCTCAAATGATAGGAAAGGTACAACGTGGTCATCATTCTATCAAAGAGTAACAAAACTAAATTTTTTGTGAAAAAGGAGTGGAACTTCAGTTAAATTGTTTCAAGATATAGTTTTGGATCAGGTTGTGAAACCTCTCAGCATAACACTTTTTTAAAATATACCGTGGAGTTTCCAGCAGGATTCTGCACCTGGTCACAGGGCACGAAGAAACCAAGCCTGGCTTGAAAGCAACGTTCCGGACTTTGTAAGAGCTGAAGACCTTGGCCCTTATCTATCCCAGACTTCAAATTTTGGCAGTTTTAGAGGACATGGCCTGCTCTAAACGACACGGCGACATTGAGTCTCATAAAAAATCTTTGGGGTAAGCAGTGGCGAAATTTCCCTTGGAAACAGTGCGTAAATCCATAGATTCGTGGCCAAACATATTGTAGGCCTGTATAAATGCCAAAGGTGGCCATTTCAAATAGATTTTTTTTTTGCTGAAACGTTAATAAAGGTGTAGGTATACATTTTAATAATATTACATTACTTCATTGAAAAATAAATGCATTTTCATTTGTAACAGAACTTATGGCTGGACTGGTATATATAAATTTGAAAAATAAAAATTTAATAATACTATTTATTGAATCTATTTCTGAATAGATATATTAATAATTCAATTACAATAAAATATAATACAATTAGGGGTTCTGAATATGATTTTGTCCCATTCGAGACCGTTGATCCGTGGGGTCCTAGCGCCATAAGGCTTTTTAAGGAAATAGCAAAAAGGTTAGTGTCGACTAATTTTACATTAGAATCCTCAAATTAACAGTATTTCTCCATTATTTAATGGATGTTATTATACAAATAAACCTTCCTCTTCAATCACTCTATCTATTAATCTATTAAAAAAACGCATCAAAATCCGTTGCGTAGTTTTAAACATTTAAGCATACATAGGGATATAGGGACAGAGAAAGCGACTTTGTTTTATACTATGTAGTGATTATTCAAGTTGGAATATTCGTCACATTTCTGGTATTTGTTCAGTCTGGTATATGATTAGGAGGTAATAAAATGATATCTTGACAGAGATTGTGTAAAAATTATTGTCATCAAAGGCGGAACGATACCTGTCTGAGCACATGAACAAATGTCGAAATACATTTTGCGACATATAGTCTTTGTCTACTAACAATTTTCTAATTAAAAACGCAAATGCTTCATTTAAAATGAGGAAATTGTCTATGTCTGGCTTTCTCTGGAATATAGGCCTAGAGATATAACATATAGTTATTTTTCATAGTGATAAATGCAACGATGCATTAGTATGTTTGTTCTGTTTATTTCAACATTTACAAGTACAGGTATTTCTTGTGCAAGATCAATCACTGTACACGAGGCCAAGTATTTGAAGATTGAGTCACATGTCTCATGTTTTGCACTTTAAACGTCTATAACTATATTTGTTTAGCCAAGAAACGCCTGACTTTGTCTGTGTTAAATATGGATAATGTATCTTCCAAAGCAACATATTTTATTATAAAAAAATTACTGTCTAAACAAGATTTAATTGTTTGCTTTTTAAAGTATCTATATTTTATATACACGAACCATAACAGACAAAATTTCTATAGGTCGTGTGGTATGGTAGAGGCGACCTGGTAGAGTTCGCAATGTCGGGGTCCATGGTTCCATTTCAATGTCATTATATACGTGTAGCATTTATTTAATATACATTTATAACATTATTAATTAAAATCGAAAAATAAACGTGTTTTTTTTCTAAAAGCTAAGATAATTTATAAGCGGTAACTTCGATTATAAAGGTAAAATCTTTATTCAAGGTTTATTTTAACTCAATATGTACCAACTCTCGTTCAATCACATAAAGACATTTTCATACAAATTATAATATGAGTTATACAAACATAACATTGCACTTTCGATTTCATTCTGATTCATAAATATTATTGCCGAAGTGTTAATTGTAGCATGATCGAAGGCTGCGCCGCTAAGGGAGAGGAACGAACTGGCTAACGTGCCTCAATGACGTTCTATAGTACAAACGCGTCGCTCAAAGCCGGCGCACGCGCACTGATAAACCGCTATAAAAACTCATCCCACGTTACACAAACACCACTCTCGCACCGGTAGAAATGGAGAACATTACGATAAGGCACGGCGACCACGGCGACCACGATGAAAGCCAGGGTGTTATCGTGGCCAAGGGGGTGTCTATGGCAGTTCTATTCTGCGCATCCATGCTCTGTGGTATCGTTCCTATGTTGCTCGCGAAACGGTTCCGATGGATAACTCCAAATGACGCCGAAAACCTTAAGTCCTCTAATAGAATTGTGGCTTCACTTCTCTCGTTTGGAGGTGGAGTTCTATTGTGTACCACCTTCATGCACCTTTTGCCAGAAGTGAACCACAACATCGACCATCTAGTTGGTAAGTTTTTATTTCTGTTATTTAAAATGCACGATTCAAATTTAAAAATCATCTTCAATATTCCCATGTTAACGTCGTAAAACTTATTAATTACGAACGAATATTCCGGTTAATGGACATACAATTTTTCCCGAATAGTAAATGCATTTTTTAACCTGCCAAATTTTTGCGCGTCTCGGGTTTGGAGACATTGAAGTCTAATCTTTATTTAATTAATATCGTGTCCTTGTAATCTATGACATTTCTACAAAATAATATTTCGGCGAACACGTAGAAATAACGTATAGTTATATTATAAAATTAAATGGAATGGACGACGTAAAAACGTAAGAATGTCCACTCAAAATATTTTAAAAACAAAGAGAATGTTTCATTATTTGGAATTCGCCGGTAAATGTCAAAACATTAGCGGAAAGTGTTCTTCATAATTGCACATTAGTTTCGGCTGCATTGTCTGCTGTTTTGAAGTTGATTGTTCTTTGTTGATTGCTACTACTAAATATATAATTAAAAACTGAATAGGTCTAGTATATCGTCGATGTTAGACATTTTAACCGGATATTATTAGCGCGGTATCTCAAGGTTGATTTAAATAAATACTGGCTTATTTGACAGGTGTCTTAGCTATATCTGACCTGTCGTTAAAGATTTTATTTCCATTTTCTGTGAGTTTTGAAACAGATATTTAAAAAAAAAAATTTTTAAGCATGTGTCTTGGAAAATTACGATCTAGCCTAACTGAAGACTAATTAAGTCTGACCTAATTTACTAATAAGGATATTTAACTTAAGAAAGTGTCCAATAACACTACTTAAATTTTCTAATTGCCTTCAGCACTCTGTTCTTGTGTTATTTATATTTTTTTTCACTTACCATTTGTTTAGTACTTAAGTTTTACGTGCGATAAACACTAATTCAGTAGTTCAAATGGTTTAGTCCTTTAGTCTTTTCACTAGGCCCGTGTTGTCAAGGGGTTGAATAGCCTCGACATTCACGTGATGTAACATATGTAGTAACTTTTTAAAATAATTAAAATTACGAATAAAACAAGTAAAACGTGACCAACGGATATAGGATATTTACATAGTTGAGCAAAATTAATACGATGTATTCAGAAAAGTTTGTTTTCGTTACAACGATTACTTAACTAACAAAATAATAACAGAGGTACAACAAATAAATTATTAATAATAATTACATTTATTTAAAAATATCCTTGTCTTATTTAATAGTGGAAATAGGTCACCATTTGTCGTATTTAAATACTAAATACGGTACATAATGGGGTAAAGCAAATAAACAGAGAAACAAAACATTTATCAGTTCCGTTCCCGACTGGAGTTTGCTACCTATGATTTTTCTTGGAGAAAAGTGTGAGAAAATCTATTCGATTGCTCATTGACATACGTTTTGAATATATAGTGTCACTATTATCTAATGGTTGCGTAAACGTCATTGGGTATGTATGTCAGTGACCGTTAACCGCAAGTACAAATTAGGATATTTCAGTAGAAGTGTAAGTTTTGAATTAACAAAGGCGATAAAAGTTACTCAATTAATTTACGATAAAAAATAATTAACTTATGTTTTTATATATTTCATTCAACAATTTTGGCAGTTCATTTCTTTTTTGATAGCGTTTATGTTTTTCACTGACAATTTAAATTAAAAAATATGGCAATGAATTTAAATAAGGTTTTAGAAACCATATAATGGCTGGCTTGTCAAACTATGACACGGAAGTATTAGAAATATGAACACCTAGAAGTATCATTAGTTAGCGTATTTTAAAAATTGTGAAAAACAGGACTTTAGAAAATCTTTTTCCGCAAAAGCCAATTTTCTTGTCGAGTGAGTTTATAAGAGATCTACGTCGAGTACTTCTATTTTCTTTATCGATCTAATTCCCTAAGTACCAGATTATATGTGAAGCAATATCGCCATCGCAGTGTAGATAACTAATTAAATATGACGTAAATCAAAGAATATGGTGACAATAATGCTTAAATTAAAATTAACCGTTAAAAAAACCTTACAAAACTATTTTTTTTTTATTTTAATAAAATAATGTTACTTGCGAAAGATGTTTGATCTAAATCGCGCGGTATTTTTCTTACAAACATGGCGTAGGTAATGTCGTAATGAGCGTGTTGGCCTAGTGGCTTCAGCCTGCGACTGGCATCCCTAAGGTTGTAGGTCCGATACCCAGCTGTGCACCAATGGACTTTCTTTCTATGTGTGCATTTAACATTCGCTCGAACGGTAAAGGAAAACATCGTCAGAAACCGCCTTAGACCCAAAGTCGAAGGCGTGTGTCAGGCACAGGAGGCTGATCACCTACTTGCCTATAAGATTTGATTGATCATGAAACACAAATCTGTGGACTATACTTAAAAAGGTTGTAGCACCACTGGTTTTTTTATGTCGTAATGAACAATTATTATTTGTTGATCATCACAAAGTAGATAATTATTGTTATTTTCATATCATACTGATACGAATCTTGCCTAATGCAGTCTATTTATAATTGTGATTTCGAAAGGTTTAGATATGGATTTATATTGCAGATATCTCAGTGCACTCAAGCATTGTTAAACATTATTTTAATAAATATTAAACGAAAATATCTCATCTTACGTTTAAAAGCTTCTTAAAATGCCGTATAACCTCCTGAAAAATGGAGTCAAGCAAAGCCTTATAATTTATACATTTATTCATCGGAATTACATTTTTCCTCTTACAACTTTGGCTCCGGACGCAGCTAATTACAATTCAATAAAGGAAACACCGCCGCGAGTCTAGCATACTAATTCTTTAAACTATATTAATTGCTCATTTGCTTAAGAATTTGACGGCATGGCTGGGTTCACTATTGGAATTCCCGCCAAAATTTATTCAGTTCGGAAATCACTGAAACCATATTTGCTGAGTAAATAATAATAATAAATAAATATTTTATTTGACTTGAAAGCGGTACATGTAAGATAAAACTAGCATGCAAATGTCAATTTATAATCAAAAGCAATAAAACTATTTGTTATGTCATATTATATGTCAGTATCTCAAAGCTTATTATAAGATCTCTTTTAATAAAATCTAATCACCTCCTACTTGAAGGCATTGCACGGTAGGCTTCGGTTACAGGAATTCACATATTACTGATTATATATTTATTATTCAGTATTAAGCTTATGCTCGTAGTTAAGTTGTAGCTTTTTTAATACAATTTCATAGGCTCAAACTTTTGTAATTTTTATAAATTCTACTTTTTGGGAGCTATATTTCATATAAAATATAGGATATATAAATATATTTATATATTATAATTTTTATATTTTTAAGAAAATAGCAAAAAGCTTAGTCGACATCACATGAGACCGAAGAGCTGGCAGCTACCTCGGACAAAGAATTAGTCTAGCTATTCAAAGTTATATTAAGTATTAATAATATATTTTAGTTATTATATATAATAACTTATTTATTTCAGATTACCTAAAACAATATATATGAATATAATAATAAAAGAGTTAGTAACAATTATGTCTTACTCTTAGTGTGTTATTGTTTAATAAAAAAATAAAAAAAATAATATTACATGACATTGACCACACTATATCCATTAATTTATTAACAACAGATTTTTATATTTTTATTAATGTTGGTTTGACGCATGACAATAATCGACAGCCTTGCGTCTGTAACTCATTTTTCGAACTCACAGGGTTTTCGCATGGGGTGCCAAATCAGTCAAAAAAAAAAAAAAACAACAAACCCCAAAAAACAACAAAAAAAACAAAAAAAAAAACCAAAAAAAAAAAAAGCGGGGGGAAATAAAAAAAAACGGCGGGGGGCGAAAAAAACAAAAACCGCCATTGAAAAAAAAAAAAAAGGGGAAAAATTATTTTAATTTTTGGAAAAAATGGGGGGTTTTGAACGCTTTAATTAATTTATTGTTTATTAACTTACCAATTAATTTTTTATAAACAAATATTCGAACGCTTTTAAAATTTATATGAAAAAAATGTTTAAATATTTAAAACTTTTTTCTAAATACATACTTAACAAAATCGACCATAAAAGTTAACAAAATATTTATACTTTGTTTATAACAATTTTTTTACTTAAACAAAAACTTAAAAATCCATGCCAATCCACCCATCCATCTCCATCCAATTTTTTTTTTTCAACTTTGAATAGGGTTTGTAATTTTAGAGTAGAAAAAAAAAAAAAATAAATTTGTTTATAAAAAAGGTAAGTTAATAAACAATAGAATTGTTGATTAAAAAAAATTTTTTCTGTTACTTTATAGATGGACTGTGAACTATGATTTTTAGAAAAAAAAATTTCTTAACTAATTATTAAATACAATAGAAAATTAAAAAAAAAACGATTATAAACAATTAAAAATTGTTAATAAGAAAAAATTTTTTTTATTTAAATCATACAATTTTTAATGTAATAAAGTTGTGTTAAATTTTTTTTTAAAATATTGATTTAATCAATTTGTTTAAAAAAAATTTATCAACAAATGGCGGGAATTTTTTTTTTGCAAATCAATAAATATCTTGTATTAATAAAAAAACGATTATATGATGATTTAGAAAAAAATTTTTTAACAACATTACATGGATTTTTAAGTTTTTGTTTAAGTAAAAAAATTGTTATAAACAAAGTATAAATATTTTTTTAACTTTTATGGCACGATCTTGTTAAGTATGTATGTAAGAAAGGCTCTACGAAGCGAAATATTTTTACGACCATTATTTAAACATTTTTTTTCACTTACAATTAAGACGGTCGTTCGAGAAAATTTCGTTAGTTAACAATTATTTAACTTGTTGAAAAATTAACTTTAAGTAAAATTTTCAACGGGAATAAATTAATTATAGTGTTCAAAACACACCATAATTTTTTCAAATTTAAAAAAAAATATTCAATACCTTAAATAAATTAATTAATGTGCCGTAGTCGCTTTTGACGCCACGCGCGAATCCTAAAAATTTCACCCGCAGACCTATTTTCAGCGTTAAATTAAAATTATAAATAATGGAGATAGAGTTCCGGGAGTTTGGAGTTTTTTATTGAAAATTCCCCCTTTGATTGAAATTTCTTAAATATTAATAGTTTATTAAATATTGGCAAAAAACTAAATGCCTTTTTTTTTCATCTATTAGCACATTTTTCTAGACGTCATTCCGGATCCAATGAGCTATCGCACATAATTTTAAGAGCAGTATCTCTATTTTGTTCCATTTTTAACTTGTCGACTAGACTACTAGGATCAAATCAGTGAATAATAATCTCTAATCCGTAGAATGTACTTGTGTCATTATCACATACTCGTACAATTGGAACGACCCACATTTAATGCTCACATTATCTAGAAGATATTTTTTAATACGGTTACAACTTTTATTCATAAACAAAAATACATTAAAATTGTGTTAAATTACCGATTAGAAAGACTACGCTTTGTATTCTATCAAACAGACGAAAATTAAAAGAGAGAATTATGTTGAAAATTTCAAACAGGGAAAATTTGTTCGCGAATAGAATGCAAAGATGCATACTAGGGTTTTCCCACGATAACCAGCTACTTGCGAAAACGTGTTCGTTTGGTACTCGATTCGTGACAAGGAAATGTTTACGGGGCATCACCTGATACGTGCCGGTTCAACTGCCAATGAGT